ATTAATAAATATAAAATATAGTTAAATTTCAAATTATTTTGATTAAAAAAGTATATATTAGAAAGAATATTTGAATTATATAAAATAAAAATATTATCATAATTATAAAAAACAAGAATTTAGAAAATCTAAAAAATAATGTATAAATTAATTGATTATATATTTGTTATTTTGCTTTCTATTATATCATGTTTTATTTTTATTATAAATTATAAAAAATATATATTATTTTATATTATATCATATTATATTATTAACCAAATATTTTAATATATTATTAAATTTTAAATTTTTTTATTTTTATATTTAATTTAATACAATTAATATAATTTACAAACATATATATATATATATATATACTATTGAAGCAATAATAAAAAAAATTAATATTTTTTAATAAAAAATCTATTGATTATTTGATTTGTTCTATTTAAAATATCATGTAAATTTGTAATCATATCTATTTTTAAAATTAAAAAGACCTTAAATTTTAAATTTAAAAGTACAATATTTAAATATTTTCTTGAAATATCCAATAATATAGATACTGTATCCATAATTGTAATTACAAATAAACAAGTAATTATAAAATTCAATTGTCATTATTATTATTATTATTTTGTTTAATTTATTAATTAAAAAAAATAATTTGATTGTTAATGATAATTCAAAATGAATAAATTCAAATTATTGTTTTGAAAAAATAATTAACAATATTCTAAACAAATAATTGTTTTTTTAAAATAATTTTAAATTCGAATTTATCAATAAAAACCTGAATATATAATTATAATCAATATATATAATTAAAGAAATTAAAAATAATAAATAAATACAGTGGTTTTGAAAAGATTCAATAAAACAGTTTATCTAGAGAGCAATAAAATTTTTATTTAAACAATCTGTTAATTATATCAACAGATTTTATTATAACCAGACAGTTCTTTCATTCTATTTCATATTTCAAGTACAATATACATCATCAATATTTTTTTTTTATCCACACATGTGTTTATTTTTTTCAATCAGGATATGCTGATTGCAAGTAAGATTTATTTTGTATTGAATATAGGATGTTTTGTTTCAATAGAGATTTTTTAATTGATTTAGTAATGAATTGGAGAGTTAAAATAAAATATGCATCATACATGACAAATTTTATTTGATATCATCAATCATCTGACATAATCAGCTGAATTTTCTATAAACAAAATATATTTGTATGTAAAATGTGAGGTGAAGCGTAATTGTTTTTTATTTGGGTGTGAATAGTTTTATTAAACGAAACGCTTGTCTAAATTATCAAAATATCTTTGAAAAAAAAAAGAATACACGTAAAGCTCCAGTTAATTTAAAAACATATACTGCATATTTTTTTGTTGTAAACGGAAAAATAGAAACTAATTACAAAATTTATTCGCCTATTTGAAATTGACATTTTTGACGGGTGAATTGTTGTTTTTTAACGAATGCTTCTGGTAATGCAATGAGAGGTTGTATGTACACACGTATGTATGTACAGTATGTACGTTGGTTGATTGATTCAGTGAGGTACCGCGGCTACTGTGGTTACTGCCAAAGGACCCACGATTAGATGTAACACTCATTCACGGTTTTTTTTTTAACCCTGTTTAAAATTTCTTAATTTAATAGGTTTGGAATTACACAATTGATTGAATTCCAATAATTAGAATGAAATTATCTCTCCATGACACATCTCGCTCACAACATGAGGTTCACTCGAACGTACGACGTTCAACATTCATTCACAATATTTACTTTTATGGAAATGGATTCTTTCGCTTTCACATGTCAACCTTATCATGCAGTTGATTACTTTTGGAGTCTAGCATGCAACATGTCGCAATTGTTAATTGGGCGAGATTTCGAATCCCGAAGGACGGTCAATGCTCACGGTGCCTCTCTTTTTTGCATTCTTTCTTCCCATTGAGATGAAAAAGATTTGATTGGCATGAGATGTTATAATTAATAATCATTTGTTATTTACGCCAAGCACAATATTTTTGTATCTTACAGGTCAGATTGTTGCGCATAATGCCAACCAAAGCTTTACCGTCTATATTGAAGCCAAATATGGTAGCAGTCTATTTTTTCTTTTAGCACGTTTTAATCATTACTCGGTTATGTAATCAATTTCCCAATATAGAGCTCCAAGCTCGTATTAACTTTTGTAGAACTTTTGGTTACGCGTACATTTGGGCGTTTCATTTCGATTAGACTGATTCATCTGGTGCTGCGATGAAAATCGATCACCCCAAGAATTCGAGTGTCCTTACATAAAAAAAAAAAAAAAAAAAAACTACGCACGAATAGCTGTACATTATGTGAATGAGGCTAATTATGGGGAGCTCGAGGTAAAGATGATGATAACTAGGAAGCATGAATGATAATAATTTGGGATGCGCCAATTACCATTACACCCGCGCACATACAAAGTTTTACCGTCGCCTCCTAAATGATATAAAAGAAAAACCCTTTTCCATTTGCTCTATTGAAGGTCACAATTATGGTAAAGGTGGTGAGGAGGAGTCAAGGTCAAGTATGCATGAACGGATATATCCGAAGCCTAGTTCTACTGCGTGATGATTATGATTAGATTGAATAAGGCCACGCTGCCATACAAAATTCCCGGATGAACAATACAAAGAAAGAATGAAAGAAATGAATATATGCATATGTATACATATATATACATTTGCATTTTTGGATCGTGACAGGAATGAACATCCCTGCAAGAGTTAACAGATTAGGAGAAGATTTGGGAAAAGAAAAAGAAACCGAATTCGGAAGACAATAATAAGATTTTACGAATTCGAAACCTATTGGGTAATTAATTGGTACAATACAACGTTTTTTTGTTTTGCCGCGATTGCATTTTCATACATCACCTCTTCTTTTTGACACAGTTTCAGGATGAGATAAATTAATCTCTACCAAGATCTTTACTCTTCCGGGACGAAAACAAAAAGAAAAAGAAAAACTCAAATTCCCAAAAAATCGATGCTGAATAATCTGTTTGAATTCGGATGCACGCAAATATTCATGCAAGGAAAGCATAAAACATGATGTGCTGATGATGGTAAAATTATTATTAATATGACCAATCCTAGAAGAACGAAAAAGTATTTGTCATTGATCACTGATTTGTTCAGAACATTTTTTTTGGGATTGTAATTTTAGAATCATTAATTCCATTTTGGAAAGGGTTGTGCTACTTCGATTGATGGCATTTTTGGTATATTCAAGAATTTACTTGAAGTTACCGTGTAAGGTACATGCATACACATGAGCTGACCCATTATGTAACACTGATGAACTCATCAATCCACGTATTGTGTACTAAAAATTCCAGTGTTAACCAGGAATTCCCACAATATTAACCTTTTCGGGGAATACTCATACAGTATGTAATAAACTCTATTTATATATAGCATAGACACCGTGTATTGGAATTTCAAGAATCCTATCGTGCACATCTATTGCCAAACTCGGCTCTCTATACACTTCACCTTCCTTAAAAAACTAATTACCCTGTGCCATCCTTGATGCACTCAGCCTCAGAAGAAAGTGTTTTGACAACCCGATATAATTAAAGAAATTCAACTATTATCGTCCCTTAATTATAATGAGCCCATAATTGAACAATGTAAATCGTGCTACGATCTAGTACGTAGTGAATGAATCACCTTCTCTTTGTAACCGATTTCTTGTTTCCTGTCTTTATTTAGTTCGAGAAATTCTGGTTTCAATGTCTTTCTGGTTCAACGAATTCTTGTCTTGATCTCTTTATTTGGTTCAATCAATTCTTCTTTATTCAGCACAATGAATCCTTGTTCTTGTGTCCTCATTTGGTACAATGAATTCTTGCTATAGTTTCCTTATTTAATTCAATGAACTTGTCGGATTAGTTTCTTTATTGAGCTCAACCAAGTTACGAACCGCAATTTGTGTGCCATCATTATTTTACGATGCAAGTTAGGAAACTTTGTCACTATGCTTTTACAGGTTGATAAGGCTTATACGATTTTCTTTCTTTCGAGATAGGAAACATATTAACATATGGTATTATTGCTTTTTTGCAAGTTTAGGGCTTATATCGTGTCACCGACTTATATATTGGTTACCCCTGTCACTATTTTTAAACAAGTTAAGGCTTATGCTATATTTGGATTCTAGTCATTAGTGAGGGCTTATATGGTATTGACCAAGGATTTCCCGGACACCGGCTATCACCAAACGGAAACCCGTCGATTCAAGTTCCTTCTTATCTTTTGATGTTCAATAAATCACTGACATAATCTAGGCATGACACCACCGAGGATCTGACAATGAAATGGTAATAATGACGATAATAATAACAATGATGATGATAAAAAATTATTACGGGATCTATAACTTTTCGAACCGTGAATCCGGTCGCACACATATTCACGCATACAATAAGAAATCTCACAAAAGAAAAGTGAGCCAATACGGTAATTTTCCCGGCACGACTTGTTGCCATCGTGCGTCAAGAAAAACTATCACCGAAAACGGATTAGTTTCTATGCGCGTAAAATGCAGTTCAGGGTGTTGTGCGCGAACAAATGATTCAAAGAAAATTATAACTCATGGGGCTATGCCGGGTCAGAAAGAGGATGTTCCTGATCATCAGAAAGATAGAATCTTGGAAGTTTTGTGACTCTTTTTGACAAAAATTCATTTTTGGAACGTCTTTCTTTGATCCATCACTTTTCGGATTATTACATGCACGCACATAAATGCGTATAATGTGGCTTACGGGTTCGCGTGACTTTATTGTACATGAGATGCATCAGAATTTAAAAAGATTTTACAAAATAAATAATGTAGTGATATAATAATATAGAAAACTGAATGCATCAGGATATTGATATAGAATAAACAATGTTGAGTGTATAAAAAAAACCACAGTTTTTACGTAATCCATAAGCTCGAATTCCCACTGCGCAATCTCTTTTTTACATGATGAATGGATCATCCATGTTGATCGGGTGGGACCTAAAATTTGATCATATTTAATTAATGGAAATGTCGTTGTCGAAAGATGTAGAAGAGATGCACTTACGAGCTTAATTGAGGCCTCTGCGCGTGTTTTCCATGAAGTATGTCACGAATTCGATTTAAAAGTTCATTGTAGGTCTGGGTTTTATCCGTTGTTAAACTGTCAAGGAATTTCGTTAGTTCGAAAGAATAAGAATTATGAGGAAACACGCATAATCAGGATTCAACCTACGCTTCGATGAAAGCGTGTGACATCGCGCCAGAAGATACACCATTAACAGTCACGTCTGAGGAGGTTTGTTCATCTTTACATCTTTCCAAAGGAACAAAAAAAAAAAAAAAAGTGAATTTTCAGGAAAAATTGCCGGATATTGTAGGATAGGTGAAGAAGGAATTGATTGGAATACGTACCCACTGAACATGATAACATCAGCTGGGCTAGATTTCGTCTCGAAATTCTTCCTCCTGATTCTTTCACCTGAATTTTCCAAAGATTTCGTTCGCACATCAAAGTTGACATGATCTGATATACCAAACATTCACTTACCATCTGCTGTATTCTTCTTCTTCCCACCTTCTATAATCTTTGGCTGCTTGATGTACCCGCGGGTGGAATAGATGTATGGCAGATCGAGCACAGTCCCCGAATGGCAGGAATCAAAGATCGCTGTCAACCTCACTCCTGGATGAACAGTGAAAAGGTTCGAGTCACATCGAGACGCATTGCAAAAAAAAAACATATCTTTGAACGTACCGGGAGGAAGGTGATCGATCATTATATAGTGCATTTCCTATTAATCAAGGTGTGTCATTAAACAATGCTATCTCGGGAATTGCTATCGTCCCAAAATATAGATGAACATTAAGAAAATTCGTAGCCGCGTTTTTTTCTCTGACCCACTCACGTCATCGATGATTTGACCATTTGTCTTAAAATCTAACGGCATGATGGTCTCATCATATCCGTCATCCTCATCGCCGTCAGGGTCAATCTGTTGTCCTCCGTGTCCACTGTAGTGGAAAAAGTAACTACGAAGCATGATCCAAAAGAAGAAATCAATTACATCTTATGCACGCAAGCAGAGAAATATTAATTGAAAGATATTGATCTTCACTTACGAGTCACCTTTCTCTGGATTGGCCACGAGGGCTTTCATGGCATTGATGCAATTATCCCTGGTGGGAAGTTTCGTTGGATCCTTTTGGTCATCGGTCAACACGGTTATGTTTTCTTCGGGAAATCCCCAATATTTCGTGAGGAATCGATATATGTTGCGAACGTCATTGACGCAACCTGAGATTGAGATATCGAGATTAGCTTGGCGTAGAATATTGGCTAAATCTTATAAATCGTGTCGAATACCATTTAAATTGTACGATGTTCCAAAGTAGTTGATCCCAATCAATAGAGCTCTCTTGCGATTATCGCAAGGACAGGGTATAGGCTCATGTTGATCTTCTTTATGAGGCTTGACGAAACATGAATATTCCTCTGGCAATCCTTCCGGCTGTTTGACCGGTTTCACAATTTTAACATGAGGTTGTGAAGGTTTAATACCGATATCGGAGTTGAAGTATTCATCAAAATTCAGGTTGGTGGTCCAAAATTGCTTTGTAAAATCAAGTCCCAATTTTGAAAATTCCTTCTGCATCTCTTCCAGCATTTCCCCGGAAGGATCACCGCTGTAGGTGAAAGTCTTTGTCTCAGCCGGCTTTCCATTGTTACTGGAGGAAATTGTGTAGGTGGTGGTGGAGGAGGAAGACTTGTTTGGTTCAAACCCCTTGAAAAAATCATCATCACCCAAAAGATTATCACCGCTGGTGGTATAAGTTGTGGTTTTAGCTGAGCCGAAATTCTTGAAGAAATCATCATCCATAATGTCGCCACCAATAGAACGTGTCGAGGTGGAGGAGGTGGTGGTGGTGGTGGTGGTGGTTACAGTCTTACCATCCTTGCCTACCTTTTTTTCGGTCTTGGTTTCAGTGTGGGAAGCCATTATCTGCTAATTCGATGAAAGGAATCGTGAAGGAAAAAATTGAACTCAAAAAACTTTCCAATAAAATTTAATAAAAATATTTTCACAAAGTTACCAAATGAGATCGTATTACGTTACTTCGCGTTGAACAAAGATGAGAAAAATGCAGTGGCGCAAAAAATCGAGAAACAATAAACACTAAATCGAGCAATTGTTGCGAATGCTCAACTGGAAATTTTGAGACAGGAAAGGAAATTCTTCGCCGAGTAACAAACAAAGCGTTCGAAATTGGAAATTTTCCGGAGGGATCAGAATCTTTTTGGAAATTACAATGACCCGTTTAGAATAGCGCCAAGCGAAAAAGAGGTGAAGGACCATTTGTGATAAATGATTCGCGGAGCGCTCAACGATCCTGAGCTGAAAACCAGAGAAAGTCTTTTGGATTCAGATGTGAGCGTGCGTTACACACACTTCGCATCCGCGATTTTCGCACGGACATAACTTTTTCTGACAAACACTCTGAACGTCTTCGCCTCCTTCAAGGTCATCATCATCCATCTAACGCCTGACACTCTTGGGTTACCTGCGTACACAGACAAAAAGAATTTTGACATGACATCTAAGCTTAAAGTTTTATTCCGAATGTTTCATCGACTTTGTTTATCATCCATACCACCACATTATTCTCTTGCATGCGACTTACCAGTTTTTTTTTTTAGAACATTTTACATTGTTTATGTCATTCAACGTTTAAAGGGTTGAAGAATGTGTGGTTTCGCCTCTTCCATTTTGTCCTTGATCACAAACTGATGTTTTTACACTAGTCACCTGGTGAAACGACCTATTATTTAAGGTGCATCAATAAAAATGTTTCACCATCGACTTCTCCTCATTAAAGGAAGAGTGAGAGATGACAATATTTACGTACGATGCTTATTCAATCAAGCATGCCGACAAATATTCATTTATCCTTTTTTCTTATTTCTTTGATGCACATTATCCTTTGGAAAATCTTAATGGAAAAAGTCGTCATCGGGTTAATGCCTTTTCGGTAGGTGGGTGGGTCAAGAATTCTAGATGAAATTCGAGGACAAGATAAATTTACAGAAACAATTCCCTCTTCGCAGTACAACAATAGGATAATTTACTTTTTGAGATCGGACGAACCAATCAGAAAGGGAAACGGGAGACCAAAACAACAAACAAACAAACAAGAAATGAAACCCGTATTTTACCGTTTGGTAATTTACCCCTGCGTTCAACCGTGAAATCAAATCCTTTTTGCTACCGCTTGGAAAAATAATTTCCGGATCCAAAACAAGGTTTTTTTTCCACACGTCACACAGGATCCCAAATAATGCTAAACAATACCACACGTTTAGTGTGACGTGGGATTGTCTTGGATTTTTCAAAACGCCCAACCAGGCTTCGTCTCTCAAGCAGCCTGTATTTGGAAGGTTCTCACTCGACGTGCTGTAGGGATCTACCTGGTTGGAAAGAAAAGCTGAAATAGTGTTTCCGTCCCAAATTGGGGGATCGACATTCGGATAACAAGATACATAGTGCAAAATCTCAGGAATGTCGATCGGTCATTGAGAGGGAAAGTTCGGACATGTGCCAAATGAGACCATAAAGAATTCCCAATCACCCCGTTTATTTATTCAACATCATCCTTAAAAACTTTGGCCGCACGCACTCACTCACTCATTGTGGACAAGAATGGAATTCTCAGACCGTTAACTATCGCCAAGGAGCGAGAATTCATTGATTGGCACCCATTTCATCCTTTCTATACTATATTTAGGACGAATGTTGTAGTTCCACTAATTTCTTCTGAACCTCCGATCGATTCTCTGGCTCAATTCTTGATTTTTTCTGGTTATGTTTGTTGGCTATTATTTCCTAATAAAGAATACAGTTGGCGGAATTCCCAAACAGGGTGCACAGGCTAACCTATTTCCTTCCATCAAATGAGAAACCTTTTCATCTCATTCACCCGGTCACCTTTCTTGTGGTGTGCGCATGTTTCCATTGAAAGCCATGCCAGGCACAAGATTACCATTACAAAAGATTCGCGTTAAATGTCCATTAAAGATTGAATAAATGATATTCACACCTGACTCGCACAGATTTTGTCTTCCATTATCTTCATTATTAACCTTTTAAAAAGGTCTTTTTTAATCCGGATAAAATTTAAATCCAGTTTAGAGCCGAATTGACTCTCCTATCATTATTATCATCAACCTTTATCAATCCTTATTAATTTGTCACAAAGGTAATCTTAGTCAGCTCGTAAGTGGTAAACATCAATATATCGTATGTGCATGTGTATAATACCGACTAACCTTATCGGGGACCTTTTTTTTTTTTTAATTGTCTCTGAATTTGATATCGATGGAAACACAAGGACACATTTCAACGAGGGAAATACAGTATATTACCTTCGGGAGGATCTTGATTGTAAGGTTATTTGGTTAATTACTGGTTTTCGTGTTGTTGTCACGGTTATGCTGTATTCATAATATTATCATCAAGTTATGTATAAAAAAAGGAATTAATTGCGTACAGTACAAATTTTTAGTAAACCGTCCTAACAAAAAATTGCGAATCGAATGGGCCGAATTGCCGAATGCTCTACACTCTTATTATATAAACAATAAAAATCCTATTTCTTAAGTCTTTAGGTTGCCTTTTTGGTGAATGAATGGTTCCATATTATATGTTTTCCATTTATGCTGTGACATCTTTTTGGCCATTTATGGACATGATAGTGTGATTCTGACCTTTTTTAAGGTTTTTCTCGATGAAAGTATGAAAAAAATGTAATTCTGTTCCATTGTTTCCCTATATTTCGTATTGAAAAAAAAACTTTTTTTTTATACACCTACAATACATGATTATAAATATCCTTTACGAGCACAAGAGTTCAATAAGGAAATCACCGCCTGGTCGAGATACACTGATAAGCTATTCACCTTATGAACTATACATATTCACAAAGAGTTTCTAGATCTTCCACTATCATTTTTGTTATTACCATTTCAAGCTAAGAATGCATTTCGAACAAACATATAAAGTCCGTCACTTATCACTCTCCCGTATTGTTCACAAACCCTCCGCTTTTCCCACAAAAAAAATTTTCTATAAATACAGTATATACAAAACAAAAAAAAAAATAAAAACCAAAAAAATCAAAATTTTAAAAATATATATTAAAAAATTATAATATAATAATCAACTTTTTTTTTTTTCTTTGCTCGCGTTTTCCGAAATTTTATTTGGCCCTGACCTTTTGCTCCTTAAAGTCTGTTGCAACAAAAAAAAAAGCTACGAGAATAGGAAAGGAAAATGTCTTTCTACTGTTTTGAAACGAGACAAGACCGAACTTTGGCCCCTTATCCACCACCCGAATTTAGCCAGCAAATTGACCGAATGTCACCTAAAGAAATTGTAGACCACATAATTGCCACCAACATCGACCCCTCGACCCTCGTAAAGATTGAAAAACAAATTGCGGTACCGCTTCGTCAACTCATCTCACCGAGGGAAAATCGTCGCCGCAGGTGCATCCCGAGACCACAAAACAATTTTGTACTGTATCGAAGAAATTTTCATGCGGTCATCACGAAGGAGAGGGGGCATGCGGTCGCCAAGAACTTTAAACTCATCTCAAATGAGGCGGCCAAGAATTGGTCCGAGGAGAGTAACGAGGTTAAACAACTTTACGAATTGATTGCCGATTGCGCAAAGAAAGTTCACGATTGTACATATCCACAGTACGTTTATCAACCCAAGCATAAATCTTCAAAAAAAGGAAACAACACCATATTCCGTGAGGTGACCATGGATACCTGCAAACAAAAGACGGAAAGAACGAAATCTGACCGTGGCTCCTCGAGAAATGAAAAATCATCATCGTCACATTCAAAATCATCTACACCATCCATCAAATCCTTGGCAGCATCGATGACCTCGACCATGACCACTCTATCAATGGACACAACGTCATCGAAGCCCATATCGTCATCTCTAAAATCACCATCTCAATCTGCCGAACGTCACATGTCATCTGTTTCACTCATTAAAGACGAATCAAAAGAATGGCGCTGGGCGCATTGTCAGTCAGAATCATTCAGACAAACCCCTTCAGATTCCTATCAAAAACCTCCACCATCTCAAACGTCCAGTTCAATGCAGGGCGTCGAGAAGATTCCCGTGCAACAACCCTCGTCATCGACGAGACTTCTTCCGCCAATCGACATTCCCATCTCTACCAATTTTATGGAGGGTTATGATAAGAACGTTTGGAGTTTGGTCAATGGATACACCAATTTGTAAATAATATCGCATATTTTCATTTATAGTATAGTAGAGTTGCGATTGTGGGGCTTGACTCTATTGTTATTTTATATATATATAATTTTTTTTTTTTTTTTCCTCTCCCATCTGTTGATATGAACACAAGGTCGAGGTAAGAAGCATTCTGTTAGCATTTTCAACAAATCATTTCCAAGGATTGCATGCATGCCTAGGGTATGCCTGTCGTACGGTTGATCATTCGAAGAGTTCTACTTTGTCCAATCTCTTTGCATTTGTAGAGTTCATATGTTAGTGGTTTTTTTCTTTAAAAATAACAAATTGTTTATATTTATATATATATATATATATTTCAGTCAGGTTTTGAGAAAAAAAAAAAGGTTAATCGTCACCTTCTAGTAAAGAAAAATCTTCTTTATTCATATATACAAGCATATACAAGAAGTGTGAGGAGATCCTTTCTTTTTATCAATTAGTTTGTTTATTTTGCATAAAAAATTGAAATTGTATCAAATTTTCTTTGGTCATCGTTGAAAAACAAAAAATAATAAAAAAGAAAAAGACTTAAAATATAAACTTATACATAAGCACACAAATTCTTATATTGTATATTGATGCGAAATTTCCTCTGGTGTTTTTCATCACCGAGGCGTCGGAACTGGATTGATCAGAGTTAGAACGCTCTCAAATGTGCATTGAACTTTCCCGGCGTCAGCGGTTATACGCGAAAGCTGGTTGCGTAATGCACGTGCTGTAATCATGGACATTAAGCGACATCTTTGAAATTCAATTCAATTCAATTCCGTGAATTGCAGAAAACCCGCGATGACAGATTGAAGATAAGACCATTGAAATTCATGTGTCCGATGGATCAACATCAAAATCTTTGTTTGTGCAAATACGAGATAAAAACACCCCGAGAATCCCTGTGATCACCAGCACTTGAGTAAGGTTTAATTGGAAATGACAATGGAAAAATTTGGAATCTACGGTTTCGGCTACTTTTTCAAGTTCATACATAACAAATCATTGCTTGCTTTCATTTGTTTCTCCTAACGTTTTTGCCAAGATTAACTTACCCACAAAATACCCTCACCTATTTCATTATCATTATGATGACATAATGATGCTAATCACCGCGATCTCTCTGATTTAGTATTAATCTGGCAAATAAATGAAAACAGGAAAATGGAGACAAATTTAATTTCTCCCTATTTTATGAATAAAACTGTCACATTGGTACAAGTTTTTTGGGTTTTTTCCTCATACTTTTCACCTAATCTGGGACAATAAAGTTCATGAATGGAAAAAGGTGGGTACCGGATGCTGATTTGTATTTATAATTTGCATTGGAAGCAGGAATCGCTTGAATTACAAAGAATCTTCTCCATCTGCCTTTATAGAATCAGCCACATTCTGACGATACCGACACAAATATTTCTGTTATATACTAGTTTCAATTCCCTTCTTATCTCTTTTCATTCCTAATCTATCGTGAATGGGAAAATAAAATTTGGAAATGTGAAATTGCTGTGCATTTCGGTTAGCTGATACTCTTTTAAGCCCTAGCCTGGAAATGGGACGTCATCTTGATAGTTGACATTCATTCGAAATCTTCATTTTGACAAAAAAATCCAATCAAACATATAAACTTCGAGAACTTCGTTTGTAGTAGTACATTCGTCTGTCTCATGGTTAGCATTGAGGATGGACCTTGAACTATTTGCCAAGAACACCGATTCTTTTTTATGATTAAGATAATCAAGTAATCTAGGGTCATGCTTTTGTCGAATAATTCTATGCTCCATAAGGAATAAACATCAAAATAACAAATGTAGTCATAACAATAATTAAGAATCTGATGGGCGGTATTGTCATTTTTTATAAAACTAGTTTGATGTGAAAAAATCTTTTTTATTTATGTATTCGTATTAACGTTCATATAAAATTATGATAAATGATGATAACTATGGTTCAAACATAAAAGAATTTATGATAAGAAATTATCATCGTTACCATTATCCGAATAAATAGATAAATAAATAGATGAGATTTATCCGGGTAAATTCTTGTGCCAACTATCCTTGGACCATAGAAAAAGTTAATTGATGTCAATAGAGAAAGCAAATTATTAGAGCTAATGATTGATGTTACAAGAAAATAATAATAATTCTCGTGTTTATGTTTATTGTTATAATGATACATTGTTTACTGCATTAATAAGTGATTTAAGAATAAATGGATTCCTTATGGTTTGATTTCTCTTAATCTTTTTTAGAATCTGTCAGCGGAATGAAGAGAATCATATGTTAATCGATTAAATGCATTAGCTTTTCGATTGCTTAACCAATACACGGTCAATATAAAAATAGATCAGTTATGCGCATAGTGCGAGATCAGAAGTTGATTCATTGAAACAAAGAATGCCATAGCCGAATTATTCGGGCCTTTATTGAGTGCCAAAAATAAAAATGATTGGTTCGTCAATTCTGGTTGTAAGAGTGACCACATTCATTCACGGATATTTTATTCGCAGATATTGATTGACTATTTAAGGAATCTTCGATAGGACAACTGAAAGAACTTTGCTTTCATGAGATGTGTTACTGTGGGGCAATGCGCATTCGTTTTAAAATTTATATAACAGATAATAGAACTTCAGATCAGGTTAATTACGTTCGAATACGTCACTCGCGATGCAACACGTCATATGAACAAGGCATACATCTAAAACATATTCATCTATTGAATGCGAGGTCAGCGCCAAAGCGGTTACAATACATCAATCGATATTTATGTAATACCCTTTACAAATCACGAATCATTATTGCTAATGTATAAAAATGTGTGATTCGTTAAAGTAGCTAAAACTATTTTGATTAAGGTAACATCAATTGATATGTAAAATAATAATGAAGCAATTTTATACGAGGATTTTTTGCTTGTTGCATTGTCTCCATCTTGACTATGGTTGGAAAGTGAGAATTAGCATAATTGCAGCGTTTTTGGTAAAAAATAAGGAACCAGGAGAATGGCAAATGGAAAAATAATTTATTGCAAAATATCAATCAGTAGACCCACGTTGTTCTACATTTAATGCTTCAAAACTACCAAGTAAGGGAAGCAATAACGTACCTAGGATTTACCGTAATCCATGATGCATGAGCTTTCCTTTTCTGTTTCATAACGTTTGCTCCCGAACCTCCAGGTTCAGATCAAAACCGCACAGCGGAATAACATTTACCAAAAAAAAATAATTTTAAAGTACTATGAAGAAACTGAAAATTATTCGGACACGGCTTGTTGAATGCAAATGTCTTGATATACAATACATATGAGTAGAATGTGTTTTCTATTTCCGATTTATTACGTATGGTTTCAGAAACCCTTTATAAAGTCGACAGACGACTTTTTAGTTCATCTAGATATTCATACGATGGCTGGTAGATCTAGGTATCTGTTCCAGAACTCAATTTAGCAAACTTGATTACACATTCACATGAAATAATATCTCGGAGTTTTTTTCATGAACGATAGCACCGAGAGTTCCTGATAAGTTTGGCGTTCATTCACAAGGGTGATGCAACATAAGCCTCGACAACATCTACCGGTACCCATGAATCTCTCTGGGAATTAAGCCACCACATCCTCAGCGTAGAGTGCCTTTCTGGCAGACATATAGGATGATGGCAGGTTTTTCGGTAAATTGATATTTTGTCTTCTTTTATCTAGTGCATGTCGGCTAAAGATTATAATGAGCCTCACGGAACAATGGTTCCCAGTTCATTATCTAATTCTTCATCTAAAAAGCTCTTTTAAAATCTTGTGGAACTTTTATCCAGGCTGGACGGGATCGTGGGTACTTGCATGAAATGATTTACTTTTATAAACTGTATATTCACACAGGCTAAGGTAGCAGGTAACCGTGTGTACGCTCCATTATGTTCCGGCTTTAAAATATGTCAAAGTCATCATCTTTCTTGTACAACTTTGGAGGAGGTTCTCAAGATCTACCAGGAAACTATCCGTTTGTTTCGGAAGTTCTATAATTTTTACAAATCGTGAACTCAGAGTCTGTAAACTTATTGTGCGAATAAATTGGTTTTTCCAGATTCTGAATTACTGTATATTATTGATGTGGGAACAATACAAATTAAATTGAGTAAAGGTCTATTTTAACTTTTTAAAGTTATTTTATTTTAATTCTAAGCAAAAATTTGTATAAATCGAGTACGAATTATTTTTGTTCTTTCGCAAAAAGCTTACTTTATTATGCCATGATATTCTTCGCTAATTAGTCTATCCAATTTGTTAAAGTTTTAATATTATTACAAATTATTACAAAAATACAATTCATTATTGATTTCGCATTCAACTGTATATTGATAAATATCAACCAAGTTTGTTTAATAGTACCATATTTCTTTAGAATACTAATATAGCTAGTAATAAATTGCTTTTTTGTTTGAACTACTTATTTGAATCGATTTTTAAAAAACCCATTTTTATAATAGTACGTGTATGTCAATTATGATATTAAATTTATATAAAGTAGAATTTTAAGAATTATTCAAAAAAAAACATCGAATCCATTTTACAATGTTTAATTTCGATTTTATTAATCTTGATTTTTTTTTTTCAATTATAATGTTAATTTTGAAAATTTTTTAAAAATATTATTATTATGATTAAACTTTTAAATATTACTAATACATACTGTATTTCCGATTTTATAATTTTTTATATCATCTTATCAATATCATATACAATGTATAACAAAATTTTTTGAATTTTTTTATTTATTCATTATCTAAAAATTTTTTTTTTTTTTTCGACAACTGGCGTACACCTTGCTTTATTAGGTTTATTGATTAGCATGTACAAATCTGTTTTATACAAATTTTTCCACTATGTCTACCTGATAAAGCTACCTAAGCTAAGATTAATCCTAACTACCGGTCGGCCTATTGCCCTCCATTCTTCCTATATTATCAACACCGGGACCCTGATAGCATAAGTAGAGTGCTAATGTGCCAGGATGTGCACCTTCCAGTCCCACTCACCATCTGATGAATAGAAACTCAAAGAACCATATCCTAGAACAGTCAGCCACGGACTAGCCATATCCAACAAGGAGTCTTTATGGCTCTAGCTAGGTCTCTTGAAAAATTGGAGGTTTTTTTTTATAGTCTCGTAAACTATAGGGGTAAGGAAGCATGCTCCATGCATGAGTATCGGGGAAATCACCAAACTTGACAATGATTATTGTAACACTGCCAGATGATCGTTACACCACTACGCCTTTCTTGATATCACAATCCTAACACCCGTTGAATCGACGTGTGAATTGGCTTTTTATAGGAAACAGCGCATGTTAGGTTATGGCACCAGATATCATCTTGAGACGGTCCAGTTACCTTCACCTGGAACTGAACTTGGTATCTTGTGATGGCGATCAGAAGATGTCAATCTTCTGCCTCCTGGTTTGAGGATCCACATTAGCCCCTTGGAGGTTTCGAACCATTATTTTGGGATCTGATCTACGAAGCACTAACCACTATGCTATAGACCCACAGGTATATATATATATATATATTAATAAGAATATAATAATATAATAATATTTTATATTATATTAAGTGGCCAATACTTTTTATACCTTCTGTATATATTATATTTTGATTCTAAAAAAAAAATTGAATTAAATCAAATTGTTAATTAAAAAAAATTAATCAAAACATATTTTTAATAATTATCAATATAAATAACAATTAAAAATACATATATACTGTATATTAGTAAAAAGTAAAAATAAAAAGAATGGAAAATGAAGAAAACTATTTCTACTGATCTCTTTGTCAACACAAAAAACAGATGTTCCAAGGAAATATATATATATATTTCTTTATAATAAAGTCTATAAACTTTTATTAACAACACTTATATCAAGAGACTATAGTCTTCTCTACTTGTTTCTTTTTTTCTTTGACATAAACTTCTTGTATTTCAGCAAGTAAATATAAGAAATATCTATCTACAAAGTTAAAGGCAAAAAAACTTTGTTAGGAAAAAGAACCTGTAAAAAAAACACCTTTCTCTCTTTCTCTAAAGATTCAAGACTCTAAAAAAAATTGGCATAGATTTTTAAAACTCTTCTCTTATCTTTTTCAAGCTTCTCTCTTATCTTTTTAAATGAGTAAACTTTTTTTCTGATTTTTCTAGGAATTTTGCCTATCTCAATTTGACCCTGAATTTTGATTATGCCAGAATTCTTGAATGGTGATTGGCTCGAATTTTGGACTGGTTGATCTACATATAGCAAGAAATGTAAACAAAACATATAACTTCCATGTGTCCTATCTTGTACAACACAAAATCCAATAATACAATTGAATATAGTAAAAAGAGCAAGGCATTAAGATGTTCTATTTGTTAAGAAGTGTTATGATGTTTCTCCTTTTCTTTTTGGACTGGTTTCTTTTCTCTTCAAGATCAAAAGAAGTCTCATCCCAATCCAGTAAGAAGCTTCTTCTGTTGTTAATTATCTTGAAAAGGCAGTAAGCATTAGTATAAGACTTGTCTTAAGCAATAAATTCTAATAGATATAAGTCTTGTTTCAAGCAGTATGTTAGTCTTGTAATAAGTACTTTGAATGTTCTTGGTTAGCAATAGAATGGTGAAAATTAAATAGTTTACCTAACTGCAAGTAGTGGTAAAAGATTTATCCCAATGGGCCGAAGTTGATATTGGAGAGTTTTTATTTACCAAAATAAACTTTTTACTTACTCTTTTTACTTCTCTTTTTTTTCTTAATAAATAAAATTTTTTTACCTCTTAGGATCACAAGTTTATATAGAAATAACAGCCTGAATATAGATTGGCTATGATTTTTTTTAAGGCCAAGGAGTAGTCTTGGAAAAGAAACAATTTTATCATTTCTCATGATCATACTTAGAGAGTTAAGATTTAAAAAGTCTAAGATAGTTAATATCATATAGTAATAGCTTAATTAATCAACTCCCTTATAATGAAATAGTTAGTAAATAGCTAAATCATATGGGCAACATGGTGGTCTTGGTATTAAGGATTCAAGAATTATATACAAATCTAAAAATAACTTGTTGATAGATATTTTGCAATATGCACAGTTTAGCTTTAGTATAAAGCTTTAAGGTTCAATGTATTATTGTTTTATTTTTACAAAAAATTAATAAACATAGCAAATTGCAGTTTGATTAGAGACAAAAAAAACTCTAAGAAAAATTTATAAAAAAGTAATTGTTATAAACCTTTTCTTATACAATCCAAAAAAAAAGCAAGATTTTTAAACTTGTTTTTCTTTGATTAAAAATTTCATTCTGATATATTTGTATATTTTTTAATTTCTTTGGAATTCTTGTAATAAAGATAAAAAAAATATAAAGAGCTTTAAAGTATTAAAAGACAAAAAATATATTTGTTTTTTTATTTTTAAAAAATAATTATTATAAAAAAAATTTTTTTAAAAAATGTTATATATAGAAAAAAGTTTTTTTTGTTAATTAATTAATTTATTTATATTATTATTATTTTTTTTTTTTAATCCCGCAATCAGGTTGGTGTCGTTTATTTATTTAATCATAAAGAACCATTACAAGTTGAGAAT